TACTGATCCAGGATGACACCATATTGAATTTCTTGCCGGAGCCTCTTCGCTACACCTGCAGTCGTTGAGGAATTCAGCCACGAGGCGTGCTTGGATGCCTGTAGAAAGCTCTACCTATGTGGCTTTTCGCAGAATCCCATGGTTCATCGTCAGGCGTACGGACGACCTCGGCACCTAGTGCCCGAAGAAGCGCTTCCTTTTCCTTTCGGTGGCGCGCAATAAGTATCCCGCATTAATAGTGTGTGTGTTATGATGATTACAACGTCAGTGGTAAAGATATGGAGAAGCGTACCTGAGACATCTTATTAGGCATGGTGATAATCACTCGATATCCCTTATATCTGCAGTATTCAGCAACCATTCGTGTGTTTTGCTACTGCGAGGTCACCTTGATAGCACATGTCATCGCAAGTCCAATACCTGTGTGCGTCACAAGGTCACCGGTAAGCAACAGAAGGACTAATGGAACTGCCTAACATACCTGTGTTCCCTGACGTGGGTTCGATAACAACACTCTTCCCCGGGATGAGGATTCCATCTCTTTCGGCAGCGAGAACCATGGCTTTCGCTATTCTATCCTTTACGGATCCACCTACAGAAAAAAACTCTACTTTCCCCACTACAGACGCAAATTGGGTACAGTGAGTTTCTTGACAAGGGGACAAACGAGTACTACTGCTACACACGCACACAGATTGCATTTGAGGCCTTCCTCTTGAGCGAGCCTGTCTAAGCGGACTAGGGGGGTATTCCCTACGGCATCGAGAGCAGAATCGAGTATCTGGGAACTTGGGGATGCGTGCATTGGTGTGCTATGGAGTTTAGCAGACTTGGGCCTCTGAGGAGTGATTTTATAGATGCGGTTCCGGATCGGACCAACTAGTAGTTTATTATGTCAACATAGGGGCAGACTAGAGCCGATATCGTGCTTACGTTCGAAAAATTTGCAGGCGGACTGACTTATTCACCACTGCATGCTGCATGAAAGGCAGATAAATATAACGCATATCCACAAATGACCTCCCAACAAGTACAAAATCGGATAGGACTAGCACGGACGTCAGTGGCTTGACGAGTTGAGCATACGTACATATTTGTTCTCGGAGCTAGTCCGAACTAGATAGTATGGCCGAACTTCGTAAACCTTGTTTACATTTGCATTTGAGTTACTTAAATCCGGAAGTTATCGAAGTCGTATAAAGTTACGTATGACGCTATGACGCTGCATCTGTAACATTAAACAAACAAAAATAAAATAGCCGATTGCGCGACTTTTGCAGCACTGCGCAACTTAAAAACAGTGACCCGCAATTTTTGCAGTCACCCCTCCATTTTTTTTTTCGAGTGGATCAATAAGACGTTTTATCATAATATGAAGATACCCATACTACAGCTCAGAGATCTGACTACCTCGAGTAGACCTGTGGCAGACGGAAGTACAAGTAGGACAAGGAAGAGCGTGGGGGGCGTGTCCTCAGAGCCTTGCGTTAACTGCGTGGAGGACGCATTCTCTGCGCCGCGCTTCTCGTACACCTTCTGGAAAAGGCCTAGCGAAACTTGTTGAGTCTCGCCGATCTTCTCCTCGATTTGCTCGGCAGTGACAGAAGCATCGCCGGGAGGCCTTTCGAGGCCAATTCACTAAGTTCGCCAGCGAGTTTCGACACCTTCTCCCTCTCGGCAGCATCAAGCTGCTCCTTGAACTCGTTCATTGCTATCACAGGTGCGAATCAATGCGGGAAAGTGAAGCACCATGTAGTAAATACGTACCCTTCTCTGTGTCGACACAGACTGACTCGCCCTTGTTTGCTTCCTCGATGAGTTCCCAACGGGCCTTATCCACATCGGCATACTTCTCAGCGTCAGAGATCATGCACTCAATGTCCTTGTCGCTCAGACCTGACAAAGACGCGATCGTCATAGACTGATCCTTGTTGGTTGCCTTATCCTTGGCGGTGACGTGGACGATATCATCTACAAGGGATGAGGAAATTATCTGAAGACCTGTATAAGAGACATACCAGCATCGATGTCGAAAGTGATCTCAATTTGAGAGACGCCCTTCGGGGCCGGAATACCGACGAGATTGAAGTTGTCAAGGAGTTTGTTGTCCCTGACGAGTTCACGTTCACCCTGGAAAATCTTGTCCTCAATGGCGGTCTGGCCATCGGCAGCGGTAGAGAAAACTTGCGACTTCTTCGTTGGGATGGTCGTACTGCGGTTGATGAGTTTTGTCATGATACCATCGAAAGTCTCAATGCCGAGGGAGAGTGGGGTGATGTCGAGAAGTAGAATGTCGGTGACATTTCCGGCGAGAACACCACCCTGGATAGCAGCACTAATGGCAACGGCTTCATCGGGATCGACACCTTTACTCGGCTCACGACCGAAGATCGACTTCACGGACTCACCGACCTTAGGCATGCGGGTCATACCACCAACGAGGAAGACTTCGTTCACCTCACTAGACTTGACTCCAGCATCGGACAACGCTTTCTTGCAGGGATCAACGGTACGTTGGATCAGAGGGCCGGTAAGGGTCTCAAATTGAGTGCGGTTCAACTTCAAGTTGATGTACTTTGGACCGGTTGCGTCCGTGGTGATGAATGGCAAGTTAATTTCGGTCTGCGTCGTGGATGATAATTCAATCTTGGCCTTTTCGGCAGCCTCACGAATGCGCTGAATGGCCATGCAGTCTTGATTGAGGTCAATGCTCGACTCTTTCTTGAATTCGTTGAGGATGTGGGTAACAAGAGCGATGTCAAAGTCCTCGCCACCAAAGTGGGTGTCTCCATTGGTGGACTTGACCTTGAAGACTCCTTTGTGCATCTCCAGGATGGAGATATCAAAAGTACCACCGCCAAGATCGTACGTGGCAATCACTGATGATTCGGTACGATCAAGGCCATATGCCAGTGCCATGGCCGCCGGCTCGTTGATGACTCGAAGAACCTCAAGGCCAGTGATTTGACCAGCGTCCTTGGTGGCCTGCCGTTGCGCATCGTTAAAGTATGCGGGGACCGTAATGACCGCATGACTAATAATAGTAGTCAACACTGGGGGACTCCTAACTAGTATACGCGCAACTTACTTGACTTTCTTGTTGAGATACTGCCTGGCGGTCTCACGCATCTTGGTAAGTACCATGGACGATAACTCCTCAGCACTCTAGAAAGTATATTAGTTCTCTTACTGATCCAGAGGGGTGAAAAGGCATACGAATTGTTGTCTCTCGCCACCGATGTCAACCTCGACAGCTGGTCGAGCATCTTGAACACCCTGCAGATGATATAAGATGCTTTCCTATTTAACAATTGTCGCATGTACTAACCAGTGCTTCATGTCCTCCTGGACCTCCACGTCCTTGAACTTGCGGCCGATCAAGCGCTTAAATGTGAAGACAGTTCTGGTGGCGAGTGGACCAATGGATGGAGCTTGGTGCGGTGAAGGGCAAGAGCAGTGAATTTCTGTATCTTGGTCTTCAAGCCGGACGAGGATGGGGGCAACTCCGGGCAAGCGAAAAAGCAGGTGATAAAATGAGTACGAAGAGGCATCAAATTGAAACATGTTCATGGCTGTAGTATTCGTCTTGTCATGCGATGGGCTGTGTCGGTGGTGGTTTCGACGAAAATATGATATGGGAATCCAATGTCGACCGCAGGTGCCCGCACTCGCACTGGTAGTTGGTACATAGCAAGTCGTGTTGCGGTATATCCGTCTTCCTCGGGCTCCTTGGCACTTGCATCGTTGGTAGTCTTGCATGGATTCACGACGACGAGGGCAGTGGAGCTGATTCTAGTGCAAGGTAAGTCCGCACCTGTGGGCCCGTGACCGTGGGAAATGGTGTCGCACTACTGAGACAGTGGCGACACACCAGCAATGTCGATGCCGTGGACATGAGCTCCATCGCCCAGCTAGCGTTCCTGCCCCTTCCACAGCCCAGCCTTGGTAGATGGCCAGCTAATATCCAGACCGCTCATGGAACCATCAAGAAAGTGTACGATCAAGCTCTTTATGTCCTGCGATCTGATAGTTTTCCGGATCCCACTCGGGTTTCATTCCACATAGACGCACTCACTTCAACTGCACTTCCCATCCTCGAAGCACTTATCCCTAGTGGTGCTAGTCATGAGGACGAATCTCTGCCTCAGGAGTGGTTGGTGGGTGTCGCAAGGCTCATTGGGCAGGCAGTGCAAGATCTTCGGGACGTGGCACAGGTTGTTAATATGTTGTATGTCCGATTTTCTGTCGGTGAATGGCGCTTGACTTCTTTTCAAGTGAATGGCGAGAGGTTAGTATACCTGAGCTTGTAACGGAGTCCAAGAATGGTCGGCGCGGACTGGCCTCAGAAGTCTGTATGCCCTGACTTCCTTACTGAGGTTGTCACCGATAATAGCCGTCACATCAGTCTCAGTGAACTTGCTTGCATCCTAGGCATTAGCCGCATGACACTCTGGCGAACTATGCGGAAACATGGCCTGAAGCGGAGCTACACCGTATTGAGCAACGATGACTTGGATGTAGTTGTGAGGGCGTTCAAGAAACACAAACCAGAGTCTGGATTCCGCTATTTACTCGGACACTTACGCCATCATGGGATTCGAGTCCAACAAAAACGAATATGGCAGTCATTGTCTCGCGTTGATAGACTAGGTCAGCGGTTACGTGAACATCGTGTTATAAAACGCAGGGTGTATCGTGTCAAGAGGTCAAATGCGCTCTGGCACATTGACGGACACCACAAACTCATCCGATGGGGATTTGTGGTCCATGGAATTATTGATGGTTACTGTCGAACGGTGTGTCGCAGCGCTTACTGACATGTTTGATTGACCTTACGCTTTCAACAGATTACTGGTTTATGTGCCAGTACAGACAACCTCGCATCAACCGTTTTCAATGTATTCCTCAATGCACAGGCAGAGTATGGAATGCCATCACGTATGAGAGGTGATCGTGGTGGTGAAAATATCGACGTGGCTACATACATGGTAGCTGTCCGAGGTCCCAACCGTGGATCATTTATGTGGGGATCGTAAGTCACAACTACGCGCCAATGGCTGTCTTTTTGATGTCATGTACTACAGGTCTACCCGAAACTCGAGGATTGAACGCGTGTGGGTCGAAGTTGGAACTCAATTTGTACGCCGCTGGCGGGGATTTTTTTCTCAGGTGTGAAAGACTTCACTGCCTTAATCCTGGTGACAGCAGTCACCTGTGGCTCATTCAAAGGCTCTTTCTTCGGGAAATTAATGATGATTGTGAGGACTTCCAGTGCGAATGGAACCTTCATCCAATTAGCGGGCCAACGACCAATAATAAAAGTCCACAGGTGTGTGAAGCATATCATTTTAAGGATGGGCCGCACTCAATTTTACTGACATATCCACAGGATTTACGGCTTATCAGTAATGTCACGCTAGGAGAATACTACGACGAATATGAGGGGATCCATCCCCTCACTATTGAGCGATATTATGGCGTTCACGGCCATGTACGGGTTCGGCGGAATGGCCAAACGGGTGCGGGCCATTGCCCCGACGAGGAGCCAGAGGCCGATGACGAAGAAATTGCCACAAACGAACATAATGGTATTCTGAGAAGGGTTGGAGCTGACCTCCAGGAGCAAGTGCGCCATGAAGCAGTGGAAGTTCCTGGCAAAGGATCACCTTTCGCATGTGTCAAAGACGAGGCAGAATTTTGGTCAGTGCTTGACCGCGTTGTCATTGAAGATATCACACCAGCAGGGTATGGAGATGATCATGGGTCAGAAGGTGATGAATCAACAGAGGAGCACATCGCAATTGGTCGGCAGGGAACACAGGTTTGTTACAGTATCATTAGCAGAGCCCATATGGGCAAGACGGGCAAAAACCTGGTGTCAGGCACTCGCCGTTCTAACTCTCTTCGATGCAGATGGTTATTTTTGATCCCCCCCTAGTCATACATGCAATGTATTTACTGTACATATGGTCATGGTCAATTCAGTGGTTGTCGAGTTGAGCACAAGCACAACACTACCGGCTTAGTCAACATTAGACAGACACATCAGAACTCAGAGTCCTGCCTCGAGCTTCAGTCTTCACTCACTCCTTCTCTCGTTGCCGGTAGTTGGTCCAATCCCTCCATGCCAGATATCGACGAGCGGCTCTGCTGCTATTTCGATGAGAACGGAAAACAATGCAGTTGCAGGATGTTTACCGCACCTGCCAACAAGAATGCACGTTATCACTGTCGTGAGTGCACGCATGGTTTCAGTAATCACCCGGAAGCACAGTTTAGCAACAAATCCCCGAAAATTGACTATGGATGTAAAGGTAGAGCCTGCAACCGGCAACCGGCTTTTGGATGTGTTCCATCAACGGAAGACATCTCGCACTATGGAGTTGCCTAACTCCCTCCAGCATGTGCGTGAAGAGGTCCTGAAAGGATTCCGTGCTGGTAGCAGTGGGACACAACGAGTTACATCAACTAAAATTAAGGTGCGTTGGACCACTTCCTAAGCCAGTGTCCATACTCCAATATTGATGATCACAGAAACCTAACTCTACTGGGAAGCGGGTCCCATCTGGTAACCATGATGGGTCCCAGCAGGATGTTTTAGTTGGAACGTGGCTACTACTGATCAATGCATTGGATGAGGTATGTGCTATTGAACTAGCTCCTAACAAGTATTAATCACAGATATACAGGCAGGTGAATTGATCCAGACAAAACCACTGTCGAGAACAGAAATGTACACAGCAGAACATCGGCAGTGTGTGCACACTGGTGCCAATGCGGCCAAATTCGCATTCCGGCGGGACTGGACTCACGACGATGTCGACAAGTACCTCAGAGAACACGTTTTCCCGCGTCCGATGGAGTATGCACTTATGCACAAGAAGGGTAAAAGTAAGGCGAGCTGTTGTTGGAAACTCGCCTTCAAGGAGAAACAACGATTCGGACTCGCAGTGACCGAGGACCTTCCGACTGGCCAGGATCTATTCTACTATCGAGGACGGTTTAAATGTGGCACAGATTCGAGCATAATTATAGGTATGAGTTATGCCTTCCACCTGTTAAACTACTAATATATCAACACAGCATTGTGCGGTCATGTCCCGGAAGAGGAATATGCGTCTTGGGGTCTAAGACAGCATCAGGAGAGTAGTGAATTCCAGCCAGCAAAGCTTCGAGAGAGTAGCGACTCCATCCCTCCAGCAGCCTCAAGTGAAGACTCCGAAGACAAACGGACAATATTTGAATCCATGATGCGGAAGCAGGGACGCAGTCAGCACCCTGGTACGATGACCAGAACCCTGTTCTAATCACAGCTGACCTCTGAATTTTCCCCTCTGTGCAGACCAACCAAAAGGGAAACGAGGCCGATATCAATCACCGGTAATCGAGATCGAGAGTTCAACTGACTCTACTCAGCCACCGCCCAGCACCCAAGTTCCTCGCATCCATGGTGGATCCATCAGGCCATCAACACGTAAGTCCCATTTCTTTGTTTTTGACATGTGCTCACACCGCAACAGTTTTTCTCCCATCAGGCGACAGTGACTTATTGGATGTGGCTGACCTCCCGACTCAATTGAAGGGTCTCTCGGTTTCTCCACCTCCACCCACATTCGTTGGCCAGGCGCCTCTCGCCACTGTGAATCGCTATGTCTCGTTGCCCCCCAAATTTTTACAGGATCTTGATCCCTTTGGATCACTGGTCAACTCCCCCCTCTTACACCCGTATGTAAATCCGTGGTCACCTGATTATTTCCTTGGTGCGGCCGACTACTTTTGATTTGGAGGTAACATGCTATTGAGTATGAATGGTCATCCACTTACATCTAACCGTAATCCACATTCATGTCTATGGAATTTTGAGGTACCACCCACATTCGTTTAATCAGCATTCATGTCGACGCAGTTACATCCTGTAATCACTTGTCCCCAGCATCAATATACCGTTGATCTCGAGGCTTAGCCCTCTTCGCAAATATTGTTGTGGTTTGTTTACTCCTGTCAGCGGAGCCAGCCACATGTCCTGCTCGTCGACGCAAGTCCAATCCCTCTGCAAAGTGATGGATGACCAAACCCAAACCATGCCCATGCGACGACATCACATGTTCTACTACGAAGACGGAACCCATGTCTTCCAGGTGAGTTACCTAGCATCGTAGTAACATCTATCAGGCTGTTTACAATACATCCAGGCTCAAAGTTCACTATTCAAAGTCCATAAGAGTGTTCTCTCCGACAAATCCATCGCCTTTAAGTCTATGTTTGCTGCACAAGACAGTACCGGACTTCCCCAAACTGATGGACACAGCGACGAAAAACCAATTATTGTGCCTGATCAAGTCTCCGACCTAGGATTTGAACTGTTTCTGTCCGTGTGCTACAACAAGTAGGTCGATCCGTATGCTGCCATTGAAAATATGCTATATATTGATGTTGTTATTTCAGATGGCGCCCAGATACTTCACAGGCATCCGAGACCACCCTTCTTCAGCTCCTTGAGCTTAGTCGCATGTATGAGTCCAAGGACGTCCGTGAACACGCCATCAAGCAACTCGCCTCTCGCCGCTATACCATCAAACCTATCACACTGATCTCCATTGCCCTAAAATATCATATCAAGGACATCTTCTGTTACGCATTCAGACGGCTCATCCCAAAGCCTATAAACGAACTCAACCACGCCGATTATGAGCTTCTTACTGTCCCTGTATGGATGACGCTCCTCAGAGTCAAGGAGCGACTCGAACTCCACCGCCGTATTGTGGCATGTGAGCCACCACCTATGGTGCATTCGCCGTGTTGCCAGGACCACAAGAGGTGTGTTGACGACTGGCGCCAAGTATGGTGGAATGGCATGGGCCGGTACTTGCTTGATGGTCGTAGTCCTCAGCCATACAACTCTGCGGTCAAGCAATTTGAAGGTCTTAGCTATGGGAGTGTCGACCCCGAGTGTTGGAGAGTGATGCTCGCTCTTGTCAAGGAGGGGAAGGCATTTCAGCACGAAGATGATCTCATTTACCGCACAGCTCGGGGACTGGCAGAGTACTTGATCCACGAACCCTTCTTCGGCGATGATATAGACATGTGATCCTACAGTTGTACATCTAGTGTCGTGGCCATCCACCCAAAAAATCACAGGCCATATATATTTAAAGTATTAATGACTGCAAAAGTTGCGGGTCACTGTCTTTAAGTTGCGCAGTGCTGTAAAAGTTGCGCAGTGCTGTAAAAGTTGCGCAATCGCCTGTTTTATTTTGTTTGTTAATGTTACAGATGCAGCGTCATAGTTACGATGCAGAGAAGGTATGTGATAATTAAAGGGGAAGCTATTGTGAAGACAAGTGAAGTTTACCAAGACTTGCAGACGGGGAAAACATCGTGCATGAGATTTTCCTTCGCTGGTATCTACACTACCTCATACCTGCAATTTAATGACAACTACACTGTTAATATTACCTGCAGCCCTACCTCTTTAGGTGTGCGAGCATTTGCTCAGTGGAAATCTACTTACTCCACCATATGATTTTACGTATATTG